GTGGAGATTAATTGATAACAAAGCGAGCATATCAATATCATAGCCTAACTAGAAACCCACTTACGTAGATTCACAAAGTTTCAGACTTTCTGTTTCTCTTCGATTATAAAATCATGCAACGAAATGTTACAAATATCATCCCCAAAATCATGCAACGAAATGTTACAAATATCATCCCCAGATAACCTTAACCATGTTCCTGACTTTATCTTATGGGAGGATGTAATTCTATGTCTTTTCAAAATCCTTCCATTCGTCTGTACCTGAGAAATTCAGTAAACCAGCAGACTTTCGGACTTTTAACAAGAATCGTCGGCAACTTTACCATTGAAATGATTCTTAGGTGTTTTTGAACAAAGAGATTTTATTAAAATTTTTGTTGGACAGGTTTGATTCACCTTGAATTCTTAAATAGAGAGAAAAAAAACATTTTCTTCACTATAGAAAGAAATGAAACTGACCAAGCTGTAGGTAGGTAAGTAGTTTTTGATTACTTCATTCCATGAAATATGATGAGCCTTATTGCTGCAGGAAACACAACATATAGCAGGAATCCTCAAATAAATTTTATGTCTTGTACAATGTCTGTTGATACTTAAGTATATGATGATACCTATGAAGTACAAAATTTCTGAAAAGACACTGGGAATACCAGCAGAGTCATCTCAAAATTTTCTCTCAGGAACAAAACTAAAAATTGTGGAAGTTTCCTAAGAATGCTCTCAAGACAAATTTATGTATTATTCATAGATGAAGTGTAGCCTGCTACATATCATGTCGTATTCCTCTTCAAATATACATGCAGGTGAGTAGATTTTGAAATTTTGAGCGCACAATTTGCTTATGAAAGAAGCGAGCACTACCATGATTTCCACTTACCATTACCACTTCCTGATAAATTTATATGAGTTGATGCTTTTGAAAGTTGAGTTGAGATGTCGGTTCAGCCACAGCACTCACCAGAAAATTCCTTCTTCGATCGGACCTTTGATGATTCATTGTCGAAATAGCTTTGAACTGATTAAAGATAAATGACACCGCACGAGTGTCATTTAGTGATGAATCAGAGATCAAAGTATAAATTTGAAGCTGCTAAGTAGAGCAGTAATTTTATCAGACAAGAGTGATCGTCTAAATGCAAAATCCACTTATGACAGATCTCAGAAACTTTGCATCACCGCAAGGAGACATTAACAGAATATCTATACACCAAATTATTTACGCAACTAGGTGAATTTCTTTGGTAAATTATTGCGCTTAAGAGAAAGTCCTGACTGTAGAAAACAAGAAATAATACCTGTACCGATAGCATAACTGTGTATATGCACTACAGTGGTCACTTATAAAGAACAGACACGAACAAACACTTATGACAAACATTGAACAAGAGAGCAGAACTGGATTAAGTAACTGTAGTTTCTGATTTAGTTCTAAACTGCGAATTTGAAGAGCCATAAGACACACATCAGATGTGTAATCACTTGGTTTGGGCCAAAGAAACCTCGAACTACATGAGATCATATCGGTAAAGCTTGAGAGGTCAAAAGGCTATAATACTAAATAAATGGTGAACTTCTAACTCTTGAATGAATTCAGGACCACATACTCAAGACAAAGAAACTGCTAAACATTTGATTTGAGGCGAAAATGAAAAGAGAATGGTCAAAAAAAAGTAAAGGAAGAAAGTCTGGGTTTGGACACTGGACTTGTAAACACTGATTTTCAGAATGCACCTTAAAATGAGCCGATAGGCCGTGGCTCCTGGTTGTAAAATACGATGAATATTATTGCCAAGTGCTTGGTTGAAGTCGAAAATGGATTTAAATTATTTAATATTAAGAGATTTCGAGTTACTCGGATCATTTGTGTTATCAATCTTCGTTTGTTTATACGACATACGACCCACACACGGCAGAGGTATGCAGAGGTACCCGCCGGCACGCCGGGTCAAAAGTGTGGCCACCGCCGGACGGAGAAAATGGGCGCCATTTTGAGATGGGCCAAGCGGCGCGCGTTTAAATGGGAGCCCAAAATACGGACTTTTGGACTCGTATTTCGTGGGTTAATATTGCTCAAAAAAATCGGGGAAAATTCCTGTGAACTCTGTGCACTCTCTAGTTTCCAAAAATGCAAGAATTACGAATTGCTGAACAAGCTCATTGCGATCGAGTCGGATTTCATGCCCGGCCAAACTGCCATGCTACCGATGTAAGCAGCGAGTCCAAATGTGGGATTTTGAAGAAAGGAAAAAAAAGAAAAAGGGGGAAAAATGAACTTCTTCGGTTGTGTCCGAGCGGACAATGGACCACTAGACAAGGTACGAATTTCAGCATTCTGATACATGTTTCTCAACCAAAATTTCACGTAGAACACGATACGCACAACGAAAATTACCAAAATCAACTCCTGACGAAGATATTTAATGATTCTTGATGCGTGAATTCAAACCACCCGCTCATGAAAACTCAACGCTCTACGTGATTCACATCGCGCGCTAAATGTTTATCATGACAGTCTCTGCGATGTAAACATCTTCAACTTCAATCCTGACACTGTGGCTCAGCTATAGCAAATTACCAATAGTTTGAACAACACACGGTGGGAAATGAACATTGCTCGATTGAGAAGCTTGCTAAAACCGTTGTAGTGCGCGATTTGACTCACGTAGAGCTTTGAGTTTCTTGTGAGCGGGCAGTTCAAATTCCTCGTAATCAGTGCGAAATAAAAACGTTAATATCTTCGTTAGAAGTTGATTTCGGTAATTTTCGTAGTGTGAATCGTGTTCTACGTGAAATTCTGGTTAAGAAACATGTATCAGATTGCTCAAATTCGTACCTTGTCTAGTGGTCCATTGTAAGAGATCTTAAGACTAGACTAGTCCAGTAAGGTAATAAGTTCTCGGAAAGCCGGGGAGAACCTGGAAAAGTCAGGAAATTTCGCTGCGGAACCTTTAAAGTTTCTCTTCTCCAAGTATATCGTCAGATTTTTTTTATTTCAGAGACTTTGCGCTTAGCATTATTGTGAAAAGCATTTTTTTTTTTGAAATCACGCAAAAAAACAAAACAAAAAAAAAGAAACGAACAAATTAAAAAAATAACCACCAATACCGCCGTGCTAAGGAAGAACGCCGTATGAGCCTTCAGACGTTGCCAAGTTTCATTCGATAAAAATCGAATTTACTGGGAAAATTTTGAATATTTTTTTCCAACATATTCAGATAATTTTGTACGCAATTTACTCCAAAATATCTGAAAATTTCAAAGAAAAATGTGCATAAATTTCGTCAAAAATACTTGTTTTATCGATGGAAATTCGGCAACTCTCGAATGTTCATACGGCGTTTTTCCTTAGCACGGCAGAATAGGTCAGAAAATTCTATGTTCAAATCCGTCTTTTCAAGGCAAAGAAAAGTAGAGAATTTTGAAATCCAAGAAAAAACAAAGGTCTCTCTTCCTCTGAACTTTCACTCATGATGAAGAGACGTCTTTCTCTCAACACAATAATGAAATTCCTTTAACTTAATGTACCTAGTTGCTATGCTTTCCCAAAAAGTTGATCCTTGCTGATATGTGTTGCATTCAACATGCACTTTCAATTTACGTCCTGAGCAGAATGTCTCCACTATCTAAGCAGTAGTGATGGAGTTGGTATTAATTGCTCTTCTTGTCCGGAGCGGAGGGGGTGTCATGTTATCAAAACAATTACTTAAAACGATTCACATAGCGCAGCCGCGAATGACTCGTTCTCTTCTACTTGACACATGACCACACTGCCGTGGTAAGGAAAAACGCCGCAAGAACATTCAAGAGTCGCCAAATTTCCTCCGATAAAATGTTTATTCTTGAAGAGAGCTATGAATATTTCCCCTTGGAATTCTCAAATAATTTTGATCCGGTTAGGAGTAAAATTTTCTGCAAAATCGCAATGAAAGTATTCGCAGATTTTCCTGAAAATTCATATTTCATCACAGGAAATTTGGCAACGTCTGAAGGCTCATACAGCGTTCTTTCTTAGCTCGGTAGTACAGTCATACCAGCGCTTGATAAATGAAGCACGGACTGACTGCGACTGACTCCCATAATCAGAAGAACTGATCTTGAGCTGCGACTAGGCGGAAAAAAAGAGCATTGCAGGTCACCAGATCCCTGATTATTTTTTGACGGAGTCGGGTAGAAGGGCCCTAAGGTGGGGAAAAAATAAGTGAAATAACTGTATGTACTGCGCAGCGTTGTGGTATTAAATGCACCATGCCGCGTATAGGACTTAAAAAATAGAAAACACGCCAACACGTAAGGTGAATCATCCCTGGGTCTGGAAAACGAACATGTTTAAATGTTAAAACGTGTTATAACGAAATGTTTCTTGTTTGAACTAAACACATTTTTCCGGAAGGAAATTGGCTGTCGTAAGTAAAATTTTATCAGGCGCAATCAATTGCCTCTTCGATTCAACAATTCGCTACAGTGAATCCAGTTTTTCTCCGTGTAAGTAGGTTATACAGGGTGATCCAGAGTTAAATGGCCAGACTGCAGGAGCATGTTCTTTGGGTCGAAATGAGACTTTTTTCTTGTATAAAGTTTTTTCCGAAAGTGTCTCCAGTCGGAGCCCCAAAAAAGCCCCCCAAAAATTTCGGAAAGTAGGTAAATAGTTTTTCCCGAATTTTGGGAACGATTGTGAACCAAATCTCATGAAAATATGTACTTTCCTGTACTTTCATGTCCTGAATTCATAAATGATCAAAAAAAAAAAAAAAATCGAAATCTCAATTTAAAGAGGGGTTTGGGGGTGTCTCGGCTCCTGTAGTCCGGCCGTTTAACTCTGTATCACCATGTATTGTAGGTACTGCTGGAAATTGTCACTTTCTTGCCACCTCTGCGAGTAGAGGAAGTGTCTGTCTATCTGTCTGCATTTCATTCAATCCTCAGAGTTTCATATTATTTCATTTCAATATTAACAAGTTTATTGCCATTTATTAAATTTTATTACATCGTTTTTTTCAGATCGCTGAGGAACCTTTAGCTCTGTTCTCCCGTGGCTCCGCCGCTGGAAGCTGATTTCTGTCATGTCCGGTACGACATTCATGATTTACTTATTTTTTCCTCCTCTTTTCTTTTCCCCCGTTTTGGCTAGAGGCGAATCCAACAATTTGGCAACACCGGATTCCCTGCATTTAAACGAATGCCAAATAATCGATTCTTTTCAGAGCACCTGGTCCCTCCAAGAATCGATACTTTTTCATAGGTTTAAATAGGGAAAAGACAATGTTGCCAATTCGCTGGATCCGCCAATGTCATTTTCTTAATTAAAGTTTCGAGGGTAATTAGAGGAACAGCTCATCTTAAAATGTATATATTTTTTATAGGAACGGATCTTAAGATATTCTCGCCGTAGCCTCTGTTCAAGCCTCTGAACCATTTCACTATCAGCAATGAGTTTTTTTAAGCGAGTAGACGAATTGAACTTCATTTTTCTAAAAGGANCACGGTCTCGTCAAGGTGCGTCTTTGACCTCGCAGTGTTGGATCGTGAATTCTCTTTTTATGCTGTTTGCCTATTTTGAAATCTCTGTAAATGAAAACTAAAGGGGTTGATATGTGCGAGTTAATGACGCGCCTTATCAACACATTGTGTTGGAGTTCACTGCTTGTTTTTTTTTGCTCATCCGTAAAATCACCCATCTGCTTAAAGTAACCAACAGTGCGTATGTTTTTTCTGAAATTAGCCAGAAATTATACATAGTTCCTAACTGGAAAATGTAGTCCGATCACACCGATGACCTTTGATGAACTTAAACAAATCTTGAAAATGATCGGATGATCCACAAGTGATTCTCGCCGTAGCCTCTGTTCAAGTAGTTTGAAAAGAAATCGAAAGGGAGCAGATTATCAGTTGTCTAGGCAACTGTGAACCAACAACTTTCGCGGTTTTCATCGGATCATCGGAGGCGTTGATAAAACTTATTTACTTATCTAATAAAGTTTCTTTCTTTCCATATCGAATTTCTCGATGAGTCACCCCCCCCCCCCCCCCCCTTCATATAAACATACTCAATGGCAGTATTTCACACATATAATAAAGTCACAATCACTACCGTGTCTGGAAATTGAACAGACCTGGCGCAAGTAGCCGCTGATTTAAAATAGAAATGGAAGTCCTCTCTTTAAAAAAAAAATAATTAGATTACACGGGCAATTCCCTGGAGATCGCACTCTAAGTACTCGTTTTATTTATGTCATACCCTTCTCATGTAGGCACGAAATAAATTACATTATCCAAAATTAAACTCATTTTTCAAAGGAATCGACCAAATTTTCGTAGAGTTAACGAAGTAAATCCCTGAAATCTCTAGAAACTCCCTTCGAACTAATTCTATGCTATCAACAAGGTCAAAAATGAAAATCATGTAAAACATCACAGAAGAATTTTTACTACGGTTGACTTCAGATCATTAAACGGTTACAAACTGCAACAGAAAGAGCATAGCTTCCCTGCACCCCCCCCCCCCCCCCNTTAATGCAGCTGCTTGTATTTCATTTTTAACTCCGACTCAAGTTTAATTGTGGTATCATCTCTTTCTTGGCCCATGTCATGTTGTTCGAATCTTTGACCAAAAGAGGACCACTTTTATCAAGACCCTGCATTCCCGCCATACTTGAGCAAAAATCTTTATGTCTCCAAAAATTCTCAGCACAACGCCGTGAATACTGGTAGCCACCGAAACATTTTAGCAGAGTAACAAAACATCAAATTCAAACATTCATCAAACATTCAACGAACATCAAACATTTACATCAAATAAGGCTGATGGCGCGCTTGACGCCGCGACCCACGAGCAGAGCTAACTGACTGAGCGGGCAAGAAAATACGAAACGCCTTCAATTTTTCGTGTATGCAACACAGCCGTCCATCGAGCACGAATAGTTGCGTCCAGGTGCTTGCATCAATAGTACTTCCCGCGTTGTATCGCGCCCGTTAGATGGAGTTGCAGTGATTTCGATTGGCATGCTTGATTCATTAGATTAGGCTCGATTAATATTATCTGGATCGATTATTTCCGTAATGACGGAAGTGCTGACAAAAATGGGGTATGGTGCTTTTCACAACCGAACGACGTTCGAAAATATCAAATTCTTTTATTTCAAATTTGAAACGTAGGTTTGAATTTATAGGTTTTACCGACCGAATACGATTGAATAATACATTTTCTCTCGCAATTGTGTCAGTGGCGCTTACATCATTCGGAACATAACTGGTTCGATCCACAAATAACATTCTAATGTGAGTAGATAGGGCTTTATCGATCGAAATCGTTCAATGTAGTAAGTGATCAATTTTGAAAGATTGAATTGCGCTTGTCTTTTCCCGCCTATAAATGAAAAGTTCGTCAGGAATTTTTTTTTCACTCTCTCTTTTACTTTTTTTATTTTGGTGCATGGTTTAAAGCGCGGCAGCTATGAAGAACTACCGCTATTTAAGCTTCTGCTTCTACATATAGGATTATACTTATTGTCGTAAAGAGCGACAGAGCACAGGGGAGAATTTCATGAGCCGCCCTGCGCCGTTCGCAACGCGCATTCACGACCCGTGCCTCCATAATAGCACTTAATCTAGAGTTGAGAGCTCGCTAATTACTTCACACGACCATTGTGTAATTTTAAAAGTCAACAATTAAAAAAAAAAAAAATTACCCGATACAGGAGTTTCTCCGCCAGGGAGCTCTCCCCGCTAGAAATCGTTCACCACCCGCCCGCCAGGAGAGCCGTGGCCCGTGGCGCAGCCAGCTGCCAGCAGCGCGAAACTCGCACCGACGCCTACAAACCTAAAGGGCTACTTCACGCATTGCGCAATGCTTGAAGTATCCCTTTAAGTTTGTAGGCGTCGGTGCGCGTTTCGAGCTGGCAGCACGCCGCGCGCCGCGGACGGCGGCGCTCATGGTATTCTCCCCTGTGCTCAATCGCGTAAAGAGCCTCAAGCTTTATTTTTGTACTCCCTGCCTTCCCTCCTGACAATGTACCAAGGAATTTCTATGGTTGAAGTCAGTTCTTTGCGCTCCTCCCTCGGAAATTCAAGAAATGTTGATGTACATGAATATTTTGCATCTCACACATTTTATTCTATTGCCTCTTTATTCGAACAAATGTTCAGTACTCTCAAGTCTCGATTCACTTTTATGAGATGCTGTTAAAAGTGGTACGAAAGAACAAGGAACTCAAAATAGGACATTTTGCAATTCGGAACTACAGTTTCTGGCTCATCTGTAATATCATTTATGTAGAAAAAACGAATAGCACATACGTTGTTTTTAAACTGGGCTAGATATTGTAGTCCCTAATTGCCAAAATTAGTTCAATTTGCGAAGAATACATGCTCACTTCACACGCTGAAAATGGGTGCTGAAAATGGAGGTCACCGATGCATCGTTGAGTGGTGCCCCGAAAAGTGGGCCACAACACGCAATTTTCAGCGATCGAAAAAATCGGGGCTAATCAGCCATCATTTCACTTCTGTTTATAAAATGGCGGCCTGAGTCTTAAAGTTACTTGTTATATTGTAAATTTTTTTAAATTTGTATAAAGTCGTAATATTTTCTTTGTGTAAAGCGAACAATACCTGAAAATGAGTTTCGAGGGTCAAAATCCAACTGCGACACCGATTATTCATTTTCAGCGTGTGAAGCCGGCTTACGTTTTCGAAACCGTAACGTCTAATCTAGAACTTTACTCAACTTTGGAATGGTACGTACCAAATTACGTGCTAATTCTAATTTCTGTGCAGTGGCTGTTTGTTAAAAAACTAAGGCCAACGACTTAAATAGGGCGCGAAAAAAACATGGTGCAACGTTGCACTTAAAACCTCTGATTGAACTGCCCCGGGCAATTTTCGTAATCACGTTTTTTCGGTCGTTCATTTCCTGTGGAGAAAAAGCGATATCTATAAAGTCCGCGGTTCACAAGCGAAGTGCAGTTAAAACATCGATGATCCTGGTGCGAGAAGTGGCGTTGGAACTATTGGAAGTTGTTTCCAACTATTTCAGGAGCAAGGCTGTTTCCTCTTACCCTGCCATAAACCAAAACAAAAGAAAAAAATCCTTCAGAGAATCACGTCCCGGAAAATCGCTTTATCAACACGCATGCACTCTGCCGATACCACAGATACTCCTTCCGAAGTATTCGTTCGATTTTTAAATTGGCTCGGTTTGGTTTTGAGAAAAAAAATGTTGGAGTGAAGTGCACTTGGGTGTTAAATAGTCAATTCTGTGACTGTGTTTGGCTGGAGGCTCAACTCGGCTAATATTTATTTTCCGTACAGTTCAGACATCCGAGACGGATGCTTACTTTTCCAGTGACGTTTTTCCCCAAATTATCTTTCGACTCTGTTTTTATTTTTATTTCTTTAACACTTAATTTTATCAGTTAATATCCTTAAATTTTTTATTACTCTACAGTTGAAAATTGAAATTTCTCATCTTATCGTACTATTCCCATTTTATATTTATCATTATTTCCCCGATATCCCCTGTTTCTTTTTTCTCTCAAAATGTATGCACTCTTTATCTTCTCTTGACTACTCAAAATGTGTATGTTCCACCTCCCTTCAGGCGCTTTAAAGCCAATAGTTGCTTTGTAGCCGAATAAAACTCCTCCTACATTTAATAATTTATTCATTCTTTAATTTTTCCTTTTTATATTTTTTATGTTCCTCTTTTATTCACCTCAATTACTTCACGTGAATAGGCAGCTATAGAATGTTGAACTTGACACCCC